GGGGGGGGGGGGGGGGGGATAGAAAAAGGCTCGCAAGGTGGGGGTCCAGCAGAGCCCGGGGGAACGCCGTGCCGCCCCGCAGAGGCACTCGGGGCAAGCCCTCGAGCATCCCTCCCCTGCAGAGCATCAGGCCAGTCACCCCGGTACCCAGAGCTTTATGTGGGCACTGGATGTGATGGAAATTAAGAGAACTGGAGGTGGAAAAAATAAAAAAAAATCTCCATCTTGTGCTTAATGAAAGGCCAGTCCGCGTGACCAGACCTGACCCTACTATGCCCTACCATATAAAAGCCCTGAAAGCTGTGCATGTGCTCCCCCCGCCGCTGAGAGCACCCCCGAGTCGCTTTCCAGATGGGCAGGGACCCACCTGCCCAGCTCTGCCTGCAAGTCCAGGCTGTTTCACCCCTTACACCCACATGCACAGCACACCCTCAGGTAGGGCTCCTTCCCTCTGTGTTTTAACATCCACGGATGCTGCGTGACGGCGGTGAAGCTCATCACACTGCGGCGCAGCTGAAGAGCTCACACTGGCCTTCGCACACACCAGAGGCACCACTTGGGACAAGCCTTTCCCAGGGCAGACACGTTCCCTATCTCCACAGGGGACCCACAATTCCCATCACCTTTCCCTCGCTCTGCTCGCGTGGTTCTACACCCCAGAGCATGTTTCCCCTGAGCACCTCAGGTTTCTAAACGACTGCAGTGCAAACTGGAGTGGTTTAGATTCAGATTATCCTTCCTTGGGCATAACACATTCACACCCATCCAGTTTTCAGACTGAACCAACGTGGTGAAACTTCCTTTGAGTTTATACCATAGTTCAGAGCCAGCCACGGTGTTTCAGTCACATCTGAAATCCTGGTTTGTTTCCCCTCGACGCAGAGTGGGCTTTCCACCCTTCCCAGAGGCTCAGATAGCAGGCTGGGCACAGACAATTACGTGACAAGCTGGGAAATCCCTGTGCTCAGGAGGTGTAGGAGAACGGCTGCTGTGCTGCCAGCTTCCCCACCATGGCTCAGGGTGTGATCACGCAGAGCTGTCAGTGCTGGGACAAGTGAATCCAGGGATGATTTCCCACTGAAGGCACCACGCCAGCAAGACCCGAGCTCTTGAAAACCTTTACTCCTTGTTTTGGAAGAGGGGAGGGGATCAGTGCTGTGCATTGCAGGGTGCACTTGAACTCACATTAAGTCTGGGACAGGCAGGAGCCACTGGTGGGATAGTCTCCAGCCCGGACCTGCTCCATGGTGTTTGACACTCTGGGTTCTTTGCTGAAGGTTTTTGTTTACCTCTAGGAAAGGTTTAGCTAGAGGTAAGGTTTAGCACTGAAGGGAATGATACCACCACTGGAGAAGCTTCCTAGAGGTCTGTAGTCCGATGCCTGCTCCAAGCAGGGCAAGCTTCAATACAAGCACTCAGGGCTGCATCTAGGCAAGTTGCAAATATCCCCAGGGACAGAGATCTCACAGCTTCTCTGGAGCCCTGTGCTATAATTGATTAAAGACATACAGTCTTGCCAACTGCTGGCTTTCCACAGCTAGTAAAACCCTGTGGATTCAGCAAAGAACTGAATTCCCACACGGGAGGGCTTGTGAGCATCTCTTCAGTGAGTAGTGCCTTTGGAGAAGTTTTCCCCCAGGCACAGACATGGGTGATGGACGGCCCTCAGAGCCTGGGGAACAAGCCAGCTCCTCCCAGGCAGTCCCAGTGGGTCTGCGTGGCCAGCGCAGGAGCTGCCCACAGACCCTGGTAGGTGGTGGATGCCCTGGGCAGTCCATAGCCCGCTCCTCTGGCATCTTCCACAGTCACAGTGGTGCTTCCCACTGACTGCTGCAGCACCAGGAGCAAACCTGGAGACTGCTCTTCAAATGCTGGGGTTGAACCAAAGCATGACCCTCACTCTGCAGTTGCTTCTGGGCTCTCAGCTTGAGGACCTCTCTTATCAGTAGTGCTGCAGCATGGAAACAGCAGCCTGGGGTGGGGGGGCAGCAGCTCTTCCTGCAATGGGTTTGTCCCAAACCCCCACCCGCCTGTCGTTCTGGGCTCTCAGCTTGAGGACCTCTCTTATCAGTAGTGCTGCAGCATGGAAACAGCAGCCTGGGGTGGAGGGGCAGCAGCTCTTCCTGCAACCGGTTTGTCCCAAACCCCCACCCGCCTGTCAACTCACATGTGATTTGGGTGGTACTTCCAGCATTGGGCAGTGCTCCAGACAAAGCCACACAGGCTTTGCAGGGAGTTTAGGATACCTGTGGCATTTCATGCGATTCCACCTTCCTGTTATGTTACAAAAATTAACCGTAACACCCTTCCAGCATTGGGCAGTGCTCCAGACAAAGTCACACTGGCTTTGCAAGGAGTTTAGGATACCTGTGACATTTTATGCGCTTCCACCTTCCTGTTATGTTACAAAAATTGACCGTAACACCAGAAAAAAAAAAAGAAGAAAAAAAAAAAAAAGAGAGAGACAATGACCAACTGTCTCTTCCCCTTCACCACGCCTGCCAAACCACCACCTCTTCCTGGGAGAGCCTTTCCAAGCTTTTTGATCCCAGGACATCAAGCCTAGTCCACCACCAGAGCCAGAAGGTACAGGAGATCCCCGAAGAATAGGGAGAGGATTAAAGTCTCACACTGGTGTTTGTCCTGCAAGTCCAGAACCTGTTTCCTCCCTTTCAAAATCAATAATTAGAAGCCCTGGAATTATACCTTGAAGTTGTGTAACCGGTTTGCTTGTTTTTGCAGTCCCATCCATTTCCGCCCCGGCGAGGACGCAATGGCTCTCCCACGTTTGCACAACGGCCTAGGACAAAGGTCCCATGTGCCACCCCAGCAGAGATGACACCTCCCCAAAGGCGGGGAGCTTTATTACCGGGCATGTGGCCCGTGTAAACTTGAGTGAACCAGGAGGACGTTTTGAAGGGGTTCATCCCCATTAACAGAAGAGTTTGGAACATCGTCCGAGGTGCGTGGAGGATGAAGAAGGGGTGCATCCCGCCAGCTGTGGTCCTGCCGGGGGGAACCGGCTGGGTCCTCGCTCCTTGGTACCCACCCCTGGGTGCCCGGGGGTCTCTCCCAGCCCTGTCCGGGCACAGGCTGCGGCTGGCGGCCGTGGGTTGTGGATTTATAAATCTGGCCTGCCATCTCCTGGGAAAGCTGTGAAACGCAGCACAGAAGAGCCAGACCGGGCTGGAGAGCCTTGCAGCACAGGGCTTTCACAGAAGAATCGTTTTGGTTGGAAAAGACCTTTGGGCTCATCAAGTCCGACCGTTAACCCAGCACTGCCAAGTTACCACCAAGCCGTGTCCCTCAGCACCACGTCCACACCTCTTTTAAGTATCTCCAGGGATGGCGACTCAACCACTTCCCTGGGCAGCCTGTGACAACGCTTGACAACCCTTAGGAGAAGAGACCAACACCTCCTTTGATTGCTTCTGCCCTTGTTCCTGCCCCAGCACCCCAGGGAAACCAGTCCCACGCCCCACCCGAGATTCACAGACTTCCTTTTCCACCCTGGGAAGCTGAGGTGGTGTTCTTGCAATGCTTACATGAAAGCCAGCCACAAAAACTTGTCACTGCGTGCCTGCTCCAACACTCCACCACCACCAGACCCCTCCAGACAGAGCCAGCAGTAGGTGAATGGGAGGCAGAGCCCTGCAGCTCCACTACTGGGGTTCAGTTGGTGGGTATGGTGTTTTTGGTGGGCGTTTGGTGTGGGTTTTTGGGGTTTTTTTTGTTGTTTGGTTTTTTGTTGGGGTTTTTTTGTGTGTGGTTGGACTCGATGATCTCAGAGGTCCCTTCCAACCACTAAGATTCTGTGATTCTGTGATACATCCCCCCAGTGGCTGCTGGGGTGCCACGGGACACAGCTGGGAGAGGCAACAGTCACCCCAGCTGGCAGCACACTTGTGCATTAGTCTGCACCGAGCAATGTACCCCCCCAAAAAAAGGGACCTGGAAGAGTTGGTCAGGAGTGTTTTGAGTTCACCCACAGTGGTTTTCAAAACATTGAGAGGCTTTGGTAGATTTCAGGACTCAAAAAGAGCTGATATTGTGCAAGTATTCTATAACAATTGTCTGGCCTGCAAGCATCAGCATGCATTGTCTAGCCTTGCCCTTAAAATAATAAAAAAAAAAAAAACAAAAACACACTATGGAAATATTGCAGTTATTTCCAGCAGAAAGGCTTGTTTGTTACTGTAACCTCCACAGCCTGTAGCACCTGTGCTCCTTTACCTCGCCATGGGGAAATGTAATGTTTGCAGAGCACTTCGTACATCAAACACAGTGTGTGCCAGGAGGGCAAAGCTGTGACTTTCCCTGCAGCCCTTGTGCCACACCACTGCTGGAGGAGAGGACAACCACCACCACGCAAGGCCCTGGCGAGCAGGCAGCGCAGCCCCAGCCGGCCACTGTCCCCTGTCCCCTGCTGCTAGAGCTCTCAAAATGTCCCCACGGCTGGTTGCTCCACAGCCATCGTCACCCGTGCTGCTTCCACAGCCACAGCACAGCACTGAGGTTTTGGGGGAAAACACACTGCACACTGTTTGTGCTCGGGAGGCCCCTCCTCCAGAGAACAATAATAAAAGGGCTTTTGGCCAGGTATGCAAATTTTTTTTTTTTTTTTTTATTGTGCTGGATGTGGGTGGGAATGAGAAACATCACAGAGCACAGCTATGAGAGGAAATGAGCAGATGGTAGATTTTGCAGCTCTAAGCAATAAATTGTAAAGC